ATTGTTATGCAGTCTGAGAAATTTGTAAAACTGTTTTGCAGCAATTTCTTAATAGAAGATTCAGTGACTACTTAATTCTTCCCTATGCAAAAAAAAAAAAAATCTGATTTCTTTCTATTCAACAGGTTTCTTTTTCACAGGTAGCGATAAAACACACACTTTGTAAGGATGAAAAGTTCCAAGAGCAACATGGCAATAAAATTTAATTTTAAAGTGCTAAAGAATACTTAGAATTTTTTTTTCCTGGTAAAATACAATACTGTCTTTCATCTGATTAAGAAGTTATAAAAATGTGCACACTTTCTATGACAGGATGTATGACAAAGAGAACCTTCCTAGATTTGCTACTCCCAGACTAAAGAAGACAATCAGATATTAATATAAAAGGTCTGGTTTTCTTTAGTAAAAGCAAACATGCTTCTAGCAACCGCTACTGCACGTATTTTCCTTTCATTTTTATATGCCTTGATATGAATGCATCAGGTGTGAAAATAAATGTTTAAAATAAATTGTCCCTTAGGTTAAAAATAATTTTAAATTAGAGGCCAGGAAAAGAACAACACTGAGGTATTATCTTTTGCCTCTGAAGACAGGGAAAACTTCCACAACAACACATTCAACAGACCAGAACACTTGGAATTAAAGTTTTCATGGCACTCAAAACACACTAACTTTCACACGCATTGTTTTGAACCCTCTTCAGTCTCTATCAGTTCAGCCTCACGCAGAAGACTCTGAGGCTCTTTTTTTCCAAACTCTTCCAGACAGCCCTGGAAGTTTTGGGGCAGAATTTAAATGATTTCATGATCTTTTATTTCCAATCACTCTATGGCATTGCAAAACAAGTGGTGCTTTCTATATTAAAGAGAAGGGGTCTGCCTCATCCCCACCCCACCCCCACCCCCACACGACAATGTGTACGGATTGTAAAAGTGAAAGTTAGAAAAATAATCTTCTTCATCCTGACATATTTTCAATCCTCTTAAAACAATCTCAACAACTCTATATAGTATGAAATTAGCTCTTGCCTGTTACCCTCGTTCCTACATAGAATTTTCTAATGTGTCTCACCAGTAATAAATTGTAAAGGAGGCTATGACTCTAAGAGTAGACAGTGTGTTTCATGGGTATTTAAACAACAGCATTAAGTACTATAGGAATCTGTGGAATGTGGAGTGCAGATTTATGTGTCTTAACAATTTCTTTACTGGTTTGTAATAAGCCAGCAAACTAACACTTTATTTTTATATTAATTTGGCCTCAGAAGTAGAGTATGCTGGAGCATGACAAGAACAACAAAAATAAACTGGCATATACTTAATAACAGTAACAGTCAGTTGCCTCCAATACTAAAATATTTATCGAAACTGGGGGAGAAAGAAAAAAAAAAAGAATTACTCTCAACAGCCTGCTACCAGCTCTTTAACAGTGGGCAATGTAATGCCTTAAGGTACCTCAAACTGTCTTTCATTTTCTAGACTTAATGGCTGATTGCAGAAATCAATGTTGCCATTAGTAACAGAGTATTTGTTATGGCATGATTTCCTCTGTTGTTAGGCTTGCAGAATGATCACAGTATTAGTGAGGTGCTTTCTTTATAAAGGGCTGAAGATATAACTTCCAATTTACTATCCATTGGTAAGTGACTTTGGAAAAATACATGAGGCCAGAAATCTTACCTGTTATTAGTTGGAGATTTTACTTCAGCAGTCATAGGCTAGCAACTTTAAAAATTGTACCAGGAAGCTCAATATTTTATAGACATCTCTAATGAAATATTATCTGCTTTGCTATTTTACACACAGCATGTTAACGTGACATACAATGCAATTAAAATGTTTCAGTCCAATTTCTATTTTTCTTGTACTTTCAAATAGACATGAATTAAGCAGAAGGCTTTATACGTGTTAAAATGTGCACATAAGTTAAAAGATTGTCAAAAAGTTAGTAATTTGTATTTTTTAATCTCTTTTTAATCAGTCCAGTGGCCAGGTACAAGTACATAGCAAAGTAATTGATATGGTTGTGGGAATAAGGGCAATCAGAGAGGTCAGCCAACACGCTGTTTATTAATCCTATTTCTTTGAACTATAGCTCAAAGAAAGCATCTTTCCTCACCCTTTTACTTGGAGGACGTGGCAAGATCTGCAAGAGAGACACCATGAATAGGAGGGGGAAAAAACCACTACCTTCCAAAAGCTGGAGGGAGAGGCCCTGGCAGCCACAGTGCCAGGGGTGACTGTACAGCCCCAGCACACTGCTGCCGGTGGGGTGGCAGAGGTGACAGCTGAAAGGCTGAGGAACCTGCCCTTGGAGGGGAGGAATTAACCTCAAAGGCTTTTTGGGAGCCCAAACACAGATGTTCCAGCACATAACGCCACGTCCCCGTGGACCGCGCGGGAACGACCTAACACGAGAACGCATGAACTACCTTGCTGCTGTAATTTCAAACGCAGCTATAAAGCTTTCAGTGCAGAGAGGGAAGGAGAAGGTATCATACCTGAAGAGGAGGGTGAGGAAGGATGTGGGCTGTCCTCCTGGGCACTCCCCGTCTGCGAAAGACCCCCACCTACTCCGCTTTCTTCAGTTATGTTAGAGGAGCCTGGTGTTGTCGACCTGCTGACAGACTGAGACTCTTGATCACTTCCAGACCCACGTCGCTCATCAAGACTACCTTGAATTATTTCATCGTCTCCTTTCCTGTCTCTTTTGTGGACCCTGGAGTGAACGACCACTTGGTGGTATGTTCTGAAAACCCTTCCGCAGTCCGGGCACTCAGTTGGCTTTTCTTTCACATTTCCATGACTTTGTAAGTTGTAATCGAGTCCCTGGTTCATACCATGTGACAAAAAATCTCTACTGCCTTCTAAAGGGTCTAGTTTGTTTGGCAAGTCTCTCTGATTGCCCATTTTAGTGCTGTGAACCAAATCAGCAGGCATTTTCTGCTTAGAGCCATCTGCTCCTACTAACACATACTCCCGCTTCTCCTTATCAAACATAACTCCAGCATTTGCCAAAGTGTCTTCATGGCTGCGCTGTATCTGCTGCTCTTTAGACAAAAAGCCATGTTCCATGGCCATTCCCCTTGCCATAAGCTGCCAGGCCTGATAGCTGTTTACTGGATCCATCTCGGCTGCTTTGGCGGCAGCTTGCAACCTTTCTATACAGCTGGATTTCAGAGGAGGCACCAGATTGAGACAGCCCAATAAAGAATGTTTGTCCCCTTCGGCAATACTGTGGCCAATGCCAGAAATGGGTGAAAGAAGCTTCCCCAGAACTTCTTTCTCTTTCATGGGCACATCTCCTTTGTTATAGATTTGATTCTGTTCACTTAAGCTTGCTTTGTCAGGAGGCAGAAACCCACTTTGCAAACACGACAGATATCTCGAATATAAGTTTGCGTGAGCTTCCTGGGACATGCTGCCGATGGAGACGGGTACTTCGGGATCGTTGGGAGATTTGTTCTTTACAGATAGCTTGTTCAGGTGTACTTTCATGTGATTCTTAAGAAACCAAGGCTCTTTGAATCTCCTTCCACAGATCTGACAGCAGTGTTCAAAGGAATCCTTGTGCTTTCTCATGTGGCCTTTCAGGAACCAGGCTTGGCTGAACACTTGGCCACACACCTCACAGCGGAACTCATTGGTGGACTGCTCCCCGCTGCCGTTGGAGCCCTGGCCCTGTGCTGACTCTGCAGTTATGTGAGCCTTCTCCACGTGGCTAATCAGCTCCTCCTCCTGCGAGGCGGCAAAGTCACACAGGGTGCACTTGTAAGGCTTGTGCAGGATCCTTATGTGCCTGTCCAGCTCTTCTCGCTTCTTGAACTTGCCTTTACAGAACGTGCACCGGAACCCAGCCGTCTGAGCGACGGCTTCTTCCGGGACGCTGACTGGCTTTGGAGAGGGAACAGGGTTTGAAATATCGGGTGTGCTGTGATTAGCTGGCACGGACAAGTTACAGTTTGCAAGAGGCATTGGCTGGGTGTGGTGCTGTGCTTTCACATCAGGTCGTGGCTGCAAAAGGCTGCTCTTCATCTGTTTGTCCCGAAGAATAGCTCTCTCCTCCAGCTCATGTAAAAGTCTGTTTTCTTCTCGGACTCTTCCACGGCCCTTGCCAAGGTTGCCAAGCTTATGAGTACGCAGGTGTATCTTCAGGTTGCCTTTCTGAGCTGCTCTGTGGTCACAGTATGGACACTTGAACGGTTTCTCTCCAGTGTGGGTGCGCATGTGTAGCGACAGGATGCTGTTAAAGCGGAAGCGTTTCCCGCAGAGGGGACACGGGTACTTCCTGTTCTTCCTGGCGTCATCCTCTATGTCGCTCATCTGAGACATGATCCCAAGGTTCTGCCCATTCAAGAACTGCTGCAGGTCCACGCGCCCATTCAAACTGGTATCGACCTCTCTGTTGAGCTGGTTGGCCAACAGTGCCATCTGACTGCTGATGGGCTGGTTCGCTATGGACAGGTGGCTTTTGTCTTCTGACACCTTCTCCTCTGGATTCTGCCTGTTCTGCAGCTCTGGGAAGGCATGGCTCAGCTGGGAAGTGATCTGGTGCAGCTTCTGGCTCATTGAATACTGCCCATTGAGTATGGTGCTGTTGAGATGGGTGTCAGCTTCTGGCACAGCTGAAGAAACACCAAGGCACAAACTAGCTTCCTCCATCTCTGAAAATCAGAAGATATTTGAGATTCAGACTGTGAAAGACTTACAGGCATTGAATCGCACAGTTTGCATTTTATGCTTTACCTACTCATAATAATCCAACAGAATTAGTGCAAAAACAATACAAAGTTATTAAATGCCAACTGTGCTACACAATTTTGATCATACATGTGCTTTCATCATTCTGCATGCTTACCAATAACCATTAATTACTATTTTCAAATACGCTATAATTTCAAAATCTAATTATTACGGAAAGGGCAAAAGCTTTTACCACCTCCCTTGTCTTTCTCCTTGTGAAACTGCACCTGTTTACATTCCTAAACCTACAGAAAAAGAAATGGTATGCATCTCTCCCATTTCCATTAGAAAAGCCAGAAGAAAAAAAAACAAAAAACCAAAAAAAACCCAAACAAAAATAGATATCCATTTGTAACTTTCAATTCCATTAACCGTATTCAATATATTACACATGCTAGAATGAGAAAGATAGTTTTATGATTTGACAAAAAAACGATGGTATGATATTTACTGGTGTACAATAAAACAAGATAATGTTTTGGGAAAAAAATAAAGTAAAGGACAAGCTTTAGAACAATAAAAGGGATTTTGCTTTAGTCAACAAAAAGTGCAGTAATATCTCATTAAGCTGATTAGTATGCTGCTTAGAAACAGTACTAGGTGCTGTAACACATGATTATAATCATAAAAATCCTTCAGTGTTTGCAAGTTAAGCATTAACGAGGTATATTAAATTTTAAGGAGACTGCGACTAGCAGCTTTGTAAACCTCTGAGATTAAGATTTAACCCTTCTGTTACAAAACATTGTTAAATTGTGATTTTGAAACTGAGTCCATCAAAAAGAACATAAATTATCTTCTGCCAAGTTTTTTAATTCATCGTTGAGAACCTTCAGATTTCAGTTCTTAGGAAAACTTGCCAGATAACAGAAGGAATATCTCTGTCCTTCGATGGGCAAGACATGTGATTTAAGGCACTTTGATTTGTTTTAAAGAGCTCTCTTACGGAACTAGATAAAACCAATTAAAATCTGGGGAAGGTTCTGTGGAAAGCCTCAACAAGTTTAAGAATTTTAATAACTTTCCTAATACACAGTAATGACTACAAATTGTACCTACACTATGTATACTGCAGAAAATTAGAATTCAAAGCTATTTATTAAACACAAGTGCTGTGTTCAGGTCTGCATAATTGTCCACAATAATCTTCTCTCCTCGCCACTTCTCCACTCTATACGAAAGTAATGTATCTATAAAATTCCATTTAAAATATAAAGTTTTACACTAATAACTCTTGAACTGTATGATGCTATAGGGTTATATTAGAATATAATTAAGATCTGTGTTGTTCAGTGGAGTGATTTGACACTTTATTCGCTAATAAAATTACTGAATTCTAGACATTATTGAATAATTAACTTGATCAACTTTCTGTTTGGCTTTAGCCAAACGCATTTACTTGCTATGCCTTCTACAAAGGCTGCAGGCCCACTCCAGGTGGACACCATTCCTCACACAGCTCCATAATGGCCACCTGCTAGACAATTTGAGGCTCAAATCTGGCACATTCTTAAAATGCATGTAACTGTGCTCATGGGAGTTGTCCAGTAGACTTCAAAGGGTGACTCTTGACAGCAAAGTTCCGCACATGCTTAAGTATTTGCAGGATCAGGGCCTACAAAAAAAAGAAAGCATGGGTGGTCTTTAAGAGGAGACCTCAACAGGAGGTCCTCAAGAGGATGACTGAGGTTGTGATACAGTGCTGATCTTGTAAGAAGTAAAAGAGGAAGCGTAAATTCATGTGTATTGAAGATGAGCACAAGCTACAAAATTTTGCTCAGATGTAAAGCAGATCTGCTTCGAAGTTTAACAGTGCTGAGATTCAGGTTTCACGTTGGGGACCCATTAATCGCATGCTGTCGATGTTATTATTTATAAATATATGAATGAGATGAGCATATACAAAGAAAAGGCTAATACCTACAGGACTGCACTTAAGTTTAACTTGCAGTGTCTGATTTCCAGAGGTAAGGGAACATAGTCAAGTCAGGTGTTCACTGAAGGCCACGTAGTAAAGAAACAATTCTTGCTTTCCACGTAACTTTTCTGTGCAGCAGGCCACAACCATTCAAAATGTGGGTATATAGAAATTCATTTTTTAAAAAAAAAAATTGCAAGTTTGCTTAGTTTTTTGAAACAAATCAAATTTCATGTTCAAAATCATTAGCTAAGGAACTGAGAGTTGTAGAGTTCAGGCCTGCCATTGCCTGAAGTTGACAGCAATTTTTAAAATCTACAGTCCTTAAAAAAACAACCCTAATAAACCCCCTCGAAAAACAATACAAGAAAACACCCAGAACCAGAATCTACTTTCTGTCTGATTCTACATACCACAGGTAGTACTTTTCCTCATGATGCTTTAACAAGGCATGTTGGAAAACAAGAACATCAAAATTCCAGAAATGCATTGTGTGTACAGACACAGAGATACATGGATGAGGGTTTAAAAAAGTTTCTGTGAATTGTCATTATTCTAAAATGGCTTGAAAAATGCAGTCTAAATTTCATTTATTCAGTTGACCTCAATGGGAACTGGTGCCTTTACATGCTCAGGAAGATTTGGGTAGTTAATTTTAGCATTTTATGCTCTATCAAAGTTTGGAAATGCTGACAGATCCCAGTGGAGTTTATTAATTCTGATGTTTAACCCTAAGCACCAGTTCAAATGTATGGTTATTTGGATTGAGGAGGGGAGGGGGAGTTGTGGTTGAGATTTTAAGTTATTCTGTGGCTCTTTTTCAGATATAACTTTATTAAAGTAGTGATAGCAGTTGTAGTTGGAACACAATATTTTTTTCCCAAATTGCCTTTTTTTTGTCCTATTTTCTGTCTCTCACAAACCTACAGACACACACAATGTAGAATGTAAACAGGACAAGTGAAAAAAAAAAAAATTAGAATCAAGAGGACAAACCCCTAACTTTTAATTTAAAAACTAATAATTTTGGATCACACCTGAGAAGGCTTATCCATGCATATGGATCTTTTGGCATTGGAAATTTTATACATTTTTGATGAAGTATGCAGAAAGGTCAGCAAAGCGTCTGCTTAGTGAGAAATAACTACCTCTGAATGCCTCATACTCTGAGCAGCTTCTCCAGTTCTAGGGTCCAGCTACCTCAATCTCGAGATCCTACAGTTCTTCACTCAAGTGGTATTCCTCACCTGCCACAGCTCCTTCTAGTCCTGTTCCTGCCTCTGAATTGTCTCTTTTTTCCTCACCCCTACCTGGTTTCATTGCAAGTACAACCACAGCTTTTGAAATACTGCCACATGAAATTCCTCCTCCTGCAATTCCTGGTTACTGCATCCAGGAAGTCGGGGCCGTTTGGCCCTCACGTACATCTGACTCCCTCTATTCTTCAGCACTTTCACAGCAAAACCTACCAAAATCTCATCTTGTACCCACATGCAAGACAGAAACAAAACTACTCCTTGTCCATCATTCTACTATGAATTAGACAACCCAATCTAATTTACCTAATTTCTCTTAAAAAATGAGCAATGTCATTCTCTCCCTCTTTATCCATCATCCCTGTAGATCTATAACCAGACAGGTTACACCAAGTAGGGTAAGGGGCTTGGACTCCCCAGTGAGCCTCTTGCTTCAGGCCCCGCAGTTCAAGGTCCACACCATGGTCATGGTGGTCATTGCACAGCCCCTTCCCATCAGCTAGGACCCTCTCTCAGGGTCTAGAGAAAACCAAGAATTTTGTGTGCTGCTCTCCACAACACCCGAGGGGTAGAGGGGTGCTTCTGCATCACAGACATGCCCACAACCATGCAGTCCTTCTGCTTCCCCGTGGATTTCCCTATAGACAAAAGCATCCTTCTTAAACTGGCCTGAAATGCAGTTTTACGGTATCCATTCTGCCCCAACAAACAAACACTAAAACCACAAAAAAATCCCACCTGAATGGACTTCATTGAAATTTACCACTTAAGAGAGAACCAGTTTGTAATTGCAAGATTTTTGACAAAACAGCTTTAACAACATCTTTCTCTACCTTATGATGTACCCTTCTTGCCCCCCCCAAACCAAAACACTAGGTATTCAAAACCAAAAAATTCTGGAAACATCAATTTATAAGTGCTGCTGTGATGCTTCATGGGAGGGAAAACATCTAGCTTGCAATTTTTAAATATACAGTCTATGACATTGTTTTAATGATTCTGATCTCTCTTAAGGACAAAACAGAATGTTTTGCCATCACTCACACTGGGAAAAGAAGCATAATGTTCTCTGTAGTTAGCATATGTTTACAAAATCAACTGCAAATCAAATTGGAGATTGTTAAGAAATTCAAAATATGTTTGTTGAAATTTATGTAGTAAATTTTTGACCTTTAATTATCTCAAACGTTTTGTAAAGCCAGCCCCCGAGACGTGGCTCCGTACAGAGTATGTTGGTACAAGGGGCTGTTCAGAGACTGCCCTTCCCAACCTAACCAACCCCTCAGTCCTTGCCCACGCGTGGGCTACACACCAGCTTGGGTCAGAGTGCCCGGGGCAAGGCAGGAGCCGTCCCTCAGGAGGGAGCAAACCCACCATCGGAGTACAGCTGCTGGCTGGGTTAGGTGAGTGGCCTCCTACTTCTGTGAGAAGGACACTCAGCTGATGAAATTCACAACTAGATACAGACGTTATAAAAACACTCTCTCATCTCCCACATGAAGGTACAGTGAGACATTCAAGTCCCTTTGATGATACTAATGGTTATTTTGATTTCACTCACATTTTTACCCTCAAGACTATTTCCTGTGATATCAGTAATGAAAGTTCTGGCTTTAGCCATTCCAACTGAACACACAAATTTTATTTAACTATTTGAAATGGATTACTGAAATTTAAAATCAATTATGACACCAGAAATGCCTGTCATCACAACTACATTAGTGTAATATGAGAAGCTCAGTGTC